ACAGTAAATATTTCTTTTCTCAGAGTAAGAATTTGTCTGCGTATTCTGAGACTAGTGGATTTGTCGTAACCCGCGAAGAAAATTTTGGCAATATTATTGTGAAAAAATATTTCTGAATCACACTATGCTCTCGCATAGTCGTGGACCATCGTGGCCATGTTCCTTTTTGTATTCCTTTATTTTTGATCTTCCTTACCCTCTTTGATTATTTTTTTTCCTGACCCTTTTTATTAAAGCACCCTTGCATTCCTGTGATTCATTCGGTGACGATGCCATTTCGTTTGAGCGGAGGAATGACGCCGCCGCCCCCGCCTAGAAATGCAAAATAGTAGACTGACAAAGTGCAGCAGTTTGTCGGCGCTTAAGGAACTCCAGTAGTAAGAATAGATAAAATAAAAAAACCGTGGGCTCGCGGAGAGACAGACAGGCGGACTGACAGAGTGCATACTCAGCGGCTCGTAGGGAAAAGAGAGTGAGAAAGAAATCCTGAAAAGGCCGAGAACAAAACGGCGCCATCACGCCTTCTTAAAGCGGAGCAGTGGTAGAATCGTGCTTCCAGGCGATTCTCACGGAGCGCGCGCGGGAGTAAATGTAGGGTTTATTGTCGAAAAAAAATTAACGCTCCCCGAGTATTTCCAAACTATAAGAAACGTCAAAATATATTGCAGTAAATCACCCCCGGAGCTCGGACGCCAGTCGGCGCCAGCAGGTCGGGTCCGTCAGGTCGTTCAGGTTCCCTCCCTCTCCCCCCCCCCTTTCTTTTCCGCAACGCCTTCGCACTTTTGCTCGCGTGATCCGAGCGAGCGCGGTGCGGGAGGGGGGGGGGGGCGTCACGCCCCCGACGCCCTCGCGTCAAAGAGTATCGCACGGCCGTGTAGAGGCGTGTCGCCGGCCCAGGTAAGGCGAGGGTGCCCTGCCCGCCCGAGCAGGCAGGTACGACATAGAGCAAAAGCAAGGTATACAAGGGGGCAGGGGTGGGGGGAGGCCCTTTAAACTTTTAAATCACGGAGACGTGCTGCTGCAGTGTCGGGCGGACCCCGCGTAGATCGATCGAAAGGTTTTGTTGTAATGGGCTGCTCGCTTTTGACAAGGGACCGAGTGTTTTTTGGGGTGGCAGCGGTTTCAGGTTTCGCATCCCAAAGATGTTGTGTGTATTTTCCGATTATGATGATAATTTTTCACCATTTGGTGGGTCGTGATAACCGTCGCCCTTGCTCCACTCGCTCCCCTCCAGCGCGGCCGCCACCTGCTGTGCTCTCTGCCCCCGGCCGGTCGGCCCCCGCCGGCCGGCGCTGTGCTGTGGCGGCTGGCGGCTCGTGCTCGTGCTCCCCTGCCGCACCTGTCTGGCTACCCGTCTACCCAGCAAAATAAAAAAAAAAAAAATGAAGAGTAAAATTGATCCACGGAAAAGTTCTGTCCTGGCGAGCGATGAGGACCTTTAAACTCCCCCTCCCCCACCTGTTTCTCTCTCGCTCTCTACCGCTTTGCACTTGTCGTCTGGCTGGCAGTGAGACAAACATTACATAGGGGAACGGCCGCGGCCCGCATGTTGGAAAATGTAAATACCGTTCACAGCTCAGAGCTCACCCTGCTCCTTCGCCGCACCCTCTTTCTCCCTCCCCGTATCGCCTTTGCTTTTGCACCACCTGTTTTCCAGCACCTGTTGTGTGTGGCTGTATAGCCTGCTGTGGCCGGGGGTTTGCTTGCCGCTCGATTGCAGGACCAACAGGCACCACCCGTCCACATTCGTAACGTTTTCTTTCCCGTTTGGAACACCGAGCAGGCAGCCTCTCCTCACCCTGCACGACCAACCCG